TATTTATTGTAAAACATGATCGATTAATATATTGACAGGTGTTCTTATATACGGACTTCGTACCTAAAGCCCTACTACAAGTCTACAAACATGGTCTCATAAACGGATACGTGAGGGAAAACGGTACGAAACCCGTAGATGGGCTTGAGCTCACATATGCGTTGTCTCACATCTTTAATATAGGGAATATAGATTTAATTTATAGCTTTAATGAGTTACTCTTCCTTTCACTAATTGGTTTTGGGATGGAAACTGATGTAAGGAAACGTACGGGTGAGAAAGATAAACGATATACTCTCTCGATAAACACACAATGAATTCATATTTTCATTCAATAATCAATTGAGCAAAATAAACTAGAGGGAGTCCATTATAAAAGCTCTGTAATCCTAAATATAACTTAGTCACAAAGAAAGTTAAATCTAACTTAATCACCAAAAAAGCTACTATATAATAATAACAATAATAATAATAATAATAATAATAATAATAATAATAATAATAATAATAATAACTTAAATAATAATAATTATTATTATTCTGCATCATTCTTCCCCAATTGAGCAGGATTCGCTCTCGAATCCGACACGTTCCCACTAGAGACGTCCCCAATAGCTCGGGCGCTTCCCCCGATCGAACACGAAGGTTGAAGGTCGTCTAACAACCGCGAAGGTAAACATAAACTTGGGCAATGATTGATATGCTGAAAAGGCACATGTAAACGCCTCCATAAGCATAACCCACACAACGAAATTAACACCAAATATGTCATATCGTTCGCCACGCTCACATCCATAATTACGGCAAAACATCCCGTTGTTGGGAGACTTCGGATAGACAATAGAAAAATGGCCCACCCGTTATTGAAACTCAACATCGGCTTCGAAAATCCATCTTTGGCCAAGATACTCCAAAAATCGGGTTTGAACGAAGGCATCCCCATCCAAGGCTCAACTTCTGCGACGTCTCACGCGGGACCCATATTGCTGCAAAGATATGTCTCCATCATTGTAGGCTCCTCATCGAAAATAGGCGGATCTTCGTACAATGGCCCGTCATCTTCTTAAAAAATTGCACTATGTTGCTGCACATCTTGGTCGTCGTGCGCAACAACGAGCTCAGTCTTGACTCTCGACGGACGGAGGCGGCCACTCTCCGAAGGTATCCATTCCGATATGGTCTCCTCGCCGTCTGCATCGTCGGACGGCAGTTGTGGAGATCGCCGACGGGGATCCCCGCCTGGACCACGATCACCACTTCCTCCGTGAACTCCCCGCGCACAACCAGGTCGCCGGCGGCACGGTTCATCTGCAAATCCCAGACCACGTTGTTAAGCGTCAAACGCAGATCTTCGATCCCCGTCAAAAGATCGACAAACCAATCCTATTGGTAGTCAATCTGTTGAAACCGATCGTTGAAGGTTGCATCACGTTGTTTGTTTGCGGCATCTTGTCGTCCCGGCGACATCTCGAATCGTACTGACTGCTGATACCAACTGATGTAAGGAAGCGTACAAATGAGAAGGATAAACGAGTAAACGAGATACTATCTCGATAAACACACAATCAATTCATATCTTCATTTAATAATCAACTGAGCAAAATAAACTAGAGAGAGTCCATTAAATAAGGCCCCTAATCCTAAACCTAACTTAATCACCAAGAAAGCTATTAGATAATAATAATAATAATAATAATAATAATAATAATAATAATAATAATAATAATAATAATAATAATATATTATTATTATTATTATTATTATTATTATTATTATTATTATTATTATTATTATTATTATTATTCTTATTCTACACCAGAAACTCACTTCGGCTTCATATGCACTTTTCCTGTTTATAGTGCGCTTGACGTGTTTGGGACCGCACCTGTTTTGCCCCCGTTTCTTACATGATATCAGAGTCTGTTCTATTGGGACCACACTCATTTTTTTCCCATGTTTCTTATATGGTATCAGAGCCGATATTATGTAGGACCGTGCTATGACGTACCCGTTTACCCAACCTATTTCTAGTAGGGTTTGGGCACCCAGCTCCGCATTTGGGCTTGGGCTTTCTTATTAAGGACTCACAAGTGAGAGTGAATATAGAATATTCACTTGCAAGTTGTCTCACATCGTTTATATAGGGAAAATAGACCTAATTTATAAGTCTAATGAGCTACTTCTCATTCCACCAATTGGTTTTAGGATAAAACCCCACTTTTACTTGTCTTGGTGCGCTTCATTTGTGTGGGGTCGCACCCATTTTCCCATGTTTCTTATAGTTCAAATTGTTTGATGGTCGTACGTACTTAAGTACCGATATTACGTGCAAGTCATACTCCAATCGATTTTTCTATTTGATCTCCACACGTCCAAGTTCTTGAATAGTAAGAAAAATTTCAGAATTTTAAATCATTTGTTACATCTGAAGATTGAAACTCTCGTCGTGTTGTTGAGGAATATGAATAATACCATAGTCTATGTAATGGTCGCGATTGGTTGTGACAAAACTCTCCACTCATGTTTTTGAGTGTAACATACTAATTGGGATCAAGCATAAGAGAAGATGTTGATTACTCCTTTTATGTCATAACTAGTACAGAGCCCGTGCGATGCACGGGATGCACAATTTTAAGGTCATTTATCCATTCTTATAATTATAGAAATGAATAAAAAAATGTACGGGATATATATAGTACGTGACCTGTAATAGGCCAAAATGTGAACACGGGTGATGCACGGGGTGCACAATTTAAGGTCATTTATTAGTACAGAACCCGTGCGATGCACGGGGTGCACAATTTTCTAGTATGTGTAATAAAAATACATACCGTATGCACGGGACAGAAGCACTAAGTGAGTCATTTCCACATAGCTTGTCCGTTAAGGTAGCTCCTGAACACGGGTGCACAATTTGTAGTACGTACCATAAAATCAGAACAGATTTCCATACAATTAGATAATAAATTAGATAATAAATAAAGCTTTTTTATTTTAGTAAAGATTTTACGTACTTTGTTTTTTTACTTATCGGATGTTATGAGATTTTTTTTGTTAAATCGATTTTATGGAATATAATACAAGTACAATTAGAGGATTAAACAAAATCAGAACATATTTTCATACAATTAGATAATAAAAAAATTAGATAAGGAAAAGAAGAAATTAGATAAGAAATTTTGAATTTGACTTTTTTTTTGGATATATAGACTTTACGTACAAAATTTGACTTCACTGATTTTATGAGATTTATTTGGACAAAATCAATGTTAATATGGAATAAGACAAATAAATAGAGTCTTTTTATTTTAGTAAA